TCCTCATAATGTATTTTGATCATATGCATCCCCAACAACTTTCAGATTGTCATTTTCCTGACTCACCGACTTTGTGTGCTCTTCTTTTCTTTCTTTTGGAACACTGGTTGAGTCTAACTTATGCCTCTCATATATTCTTGAGTGTGTGGCCTTCCACTGGAGTATAGTCAACTCACCAAGGGTCACACCCTTAAAGATAGTGTTCCCTTTCCTAGCAACTATCAGCTGCCAGGAGCTCTTAGCTAGGGTAGGACTTTGTGCCTATTTCCCCTCTCCATGTGGGATTTTTGTCTGGCTGAGCTTGCACAGGTCTTGTGCATGCTGTCACACCACTGAGTTCACATTCAAAGTGTCCCTGTTGTGTCCAGAAACACGTTTTTCTGTAGTTTTCCATCACATTTGGCTTTGTCGATCTTTCTGCCCCCTCTTCCTTGATGATCTCTGAGTCTTGGATAGAAGCAGTGTGATATTAGGGTCTCACTCAGGACGGAGTACTCTGTAGTCTTTTATTCTCTACCTTGTTTCTGTTAGTTAATATCTACTGCATGAAAAGGCTTCTCTGGTGATGACTGAGAGACATGTATCTGCAGTAGACCAGTAGGCCACTAGGCATTGTTTTAATACTATGCCCACCAAGCAGAATAATAAATAAATGTACTAGTTTCTTCCCTAGGACCTAGGATGTGTCTAGATACAAGTTTTGTCACTTTTATGAAAGGTTTTTATGATTTTGGTGTCAGAAACATTAAATTTGTTTTTGTGATGCCACAGATTAAACATATTTCCACTAAATTAGAAAATAATGTGTCCATCATTGCTATTTAAAGAAACATCACAGCTGCAAAGAAGAAATATAATGACTAACCAGTGCTCTGAGATAACGGTTATCAACTCAGTGTGCATCTTTCTAACCTTTTGATTATTCCAACCTTTTCTCTACTTGCCTCTCAAAAACAAATGAACAAACAAACAACAGAAAAGAGTATCTGGGTGGAGCCACACAACTGTAATTCCAGCACTCAGGAGGTTGAGGCAGGAAGACTACTAGTTCAAGGTTAGTTTGGGCTACACCGCAAGATCTTGTCTTAAACAAAAACTAGTTCAGAACCATAAAGATTCATCCTTATTTTCTGTCTCTTATTTTGATCACTTTCTTCTTTCATAAATTTTATGAAAAGTATGGTTAACAAAGGCTGTGAACACGATTGTCAGAAATAAAGTAAATACTAGTTCGATCACTTTAGATGTAAGCTGGTTTCAAGTTAAAATATTTAGTGGAGGAAGCATTGTATGAAATCCTGTATGTATAACCCATGTTTCCCATTTGGGGTAGCCATCTTTTCTATTGATTTTAAAAAGCCCCCTTATACATTAAGAACACCCATGCTTTGACTTATTTATTAAAAATACATTACCAGGTTTTGCCTTTTCATTTCTAGCTTTTTAAAGCTATAAAAAAATCTTTGTGGACTTTTAATGTAAGGCTTTTATCTCAAAAGCAATGAGGCCAAGGTAAAAATAGTTAAATATCTCCAAACTGCATACAGAGTTGAGAGTAGAGTTTGGCCAGCCACGGGTACTTTGATTCATAGTGTTTGGAAGTCACAGTGTTTCCTCTGGCAGCATACTGCCCATGGCAGGCTGCTGCTCTACTCTGTCATGGTGTCCGTTCGTAGCTTTGCCATCCTATATGGAAAACAAGGCTTGCCTCTTGCTTTCTGTCCACTGAAACAGTGCCCAGTTCCTAGGCTCACTGACTGTCACTCACAAGGAACTTGATATTTTCCTTAGCAAACACACATTGGCCAGAACACTGGATTAAAAAAAAAAATTTTAAAGTAATATGTGTAATTTTTATTGGTGTGAGTCTCTGCCTGCATGCATAGATGTGCCCCACATGCATGCCTGATGCCCATGGAGGTCAGATCCCCTGAAACTGATTTATAGATGGTTGTGAGCTACTGTATGTGTGCTGGAATCTGAACCTGTATCCTCAGCAAGAGCAACACCTGTCCTTAAGCACTGAGCCATCTCTCCAACCCACAATGCATTGGATTTTAAAGCATCACCAGCAATGACTATGACAGTTTGAATCTTGGAAGTCTGTTAAGGGCCTCTGTGAAGGATTTAGCACACAGATGGGGAGGTGGTGGAACCTTTAAGGTTAACACCCTGTGGGAGGTCTGTAGGTCACTGGAATTGTGCCCTTCTTCTCCCTTTGGCTTTCCCGGTGAGGAGTGAACAGTTTTGCTGTCATACCTCCTGCCATGACATCCTATCTTCCTCAGGGAATGTGACCCATATGGACTAGAAATTGTGAGCCAAAATACCTCTTTCTGTTTATAGGAGTATTGTCTCCAGCATTTGCTGTCATAGCTGAAAGCTAACTAACACAATGGTAATTTGAAGTATGTCACTTGATTGAAGAAAACCCATGGAGAAGGCAAGGTTGACATTACCACGCCTATTGTTCAGATGAGGAAGTGAGTGAGGAGGAAAGAATTCAGGGAGGGGGTGGGGGCTTATTCAGTAGCACACTGCCAGACACAGCAGCACCGGACTTTAACAAAACTCTCAGTATCAAACTCCCTTTGATCTCCTGCCATGCTATGCTCTTTCTCCAGGCTTGCTCACTTCCCAGGCAGCTCTTTTTGGTTGCTGGATGGGTTGAAGAGGTAGACAGAGAAGTTTCACACAGGGGCTGGATTCATGGAGCTAGGTTTTGGCTGGACTTCCTGGTGGGAAAATCAGTGGCTCACAAATAAGAGCCAAGCTTCCCAAATGAGGACCCATCAAATGGAATTTGTCCTAAGGCTGGATTTCCCCCTCAAGATTTTCTAAACAACAACAACAACAACAACAGAAGTGAAATGTAGATAACACAAATGCAAACCTTTTATTATTTGTGTGTGTGTGTGTGTGCCACATGTGTGTGGGTGCCTACAGAGACCAGAAGAGGGAGTTGGATCATCTGGAACTGGATGGAAGTGGTGATTGTGAGCTACCTGCTGGGAACCAACTAGGGTCCTCTGGAAAATCGAGAAGTGTTCTTAGCTGCTGGCCATCTCTCCAGACCCCATTCAAACCTTTCAGTACTTCGTCATTCAGAGCTCCAAAATATTTTTATCACCCTACTCACCCACCAAATATGACCCCAGAGAATGAAGCAGTATTCTTTGTCTTAGGCCCCAGAAACCAGCCAATGCCTTTCTCCGTGAATTGACTTAATCTGGGTATTTCATAGACACAGAATCATACTCTATGTGACCATTTGTGCCTGACTTTTTTTGTTTTTGTTTTGTTTTTTTGCTTGGCGTCATGTTTTCAAGGTTTATCTATGTGGCAGTACAGCACATATGGGTTCTTTATTCCTTTTGTGCCTAAATAACATCCCTACACCCAATCCATTTGTTTGTTTACATATTGGTAGATGTTTGGGTTGTTTCTACTCAGCCCAGATTTTGAGGGCATGAGCTTTTGGAGACCAGAATTCCTCAAATCAACTAAATAATCCTGAAATCAACTCTTTCAAGATGACATCCTGATCTCTTTCTGAAAATGCTTTTCTCTAGGTGTGTTATTCAGTGATGGGTGACTGTAACAAAATACCCCAAACACTCAACTTAAAACACAGGAAAGAGTTATTTTGCCTCATGGTTTCAGAAGTCTCAATCCATCGATGGCCCTGTTGTTCTGGGATGGTGGGAAGAAGTACAAAGTCGTGGAAATATGGTGGAGGAAGATACTTAACTTTATGGTAGCCATGAAGAGTGAGACAGGAAGGGGTCCCAATATCTTCAAGCATACATCTCAATGAATTAACTGCCTCTTACTCCTCCTATGCCTCACCTCCAAGGGCTCCATCATGGACCAAGCCTTCAACCCATGGATCTTTTGGGGGTCACTCCTCCAAACAACAGCACGTGAAAGGGAAGACTCACCTTGGCTGTTGAAATGGGGTGTCATGGAAGTTCAGGCTGGGCTAGAAAACAAAAGCAGTTTCCTCTTAGGGCATTTCCAGGGTCCTGGTAACGTTGGCTGCAGTGACAATGGGGACTGTGGGCTCCAGTTTGATCCAGGGCAACTCTTCTGGGTCCCCAAGGCAGAAGCAGCCACCCATCATCATCACCATCATTCTCCTCCACTTCATTAACAACTTCAATTAGCCCAAGAGCTGAGATGCTTCGTCAGCTGCCTGGATCCACGGCAAAATTAAGCCATCACGTTTATGAACTGCCCAGTGAGATCTGAGAGGAACTTTGCATATTTTACATTTAATAACTTGCCTCTCTTTTTATTTATAATGCTAATAATGATGAGGGTGCTCTGGGAAAGTGCAGGACAAAGAGAGGGAGAGTCCAACTTCAACACAGAGAGGTGGCAAGATGCTTGATAAAGGGCCAACTGCCCCTGTCCTTGTAATCTGCCCCCTACCCAATAGCCCAGCATTAATGAGGTGGTGAGACTTTCCATCACTTGTAGACTGTTTTCTATGGAGGCTATAGGACCAGGATGCTAGACGTGCCTGCTGTGTGCTCTCAAGATCTTTGTATCTATGGCTGCATACTGTTTGTTGGGGTTCAGGGAAACTTGGTGGCCTTGAGAGGGCTCCCATCCCACCCCACTGCCTTATTAGCATCTCCTATTGCTGATCTGTAGGTAAGATAGGCATCAGACTGGGTGGAAGGAAGGAGCTTTGCCTTAGGAAGTATTTTCTATATGCTTAGGGTGTGGGTTTTGCTTGGAGAGTCCCTTGGCATGTTTATATTAGTGAGTCTTCATATTTTGAAGATACAAAGGTCCAGAAAGGCTAGTGACTTTCCCAGTGTCACCAGCTGTGAGTATCGGCTCTGGAGTATACTTATAGGGTTCCTTGTCTTCAGGGTATGAGAACATGGATGCCTAGGTTTTTCTCCAAGCCCCACCTCTGACTCTGTGCCACCTTGGGCATGGTGTTTGCTCCTCTGGAAACCTGAATAATAAGACTCTTCATCTTACAGCATTGCTGGAGGAGTCAGCTAAGGTCGTATTTGCCAAAGCATCGGAAAGCAACAAATCCCTGTGCAAGCAGCAGCCGTGGATCACCTGCTCCAGAGGCCTCTGCACTGCCATTGGGTAGAGCCAAGGTCAGGGCCTTGCAGTGTTTGGGGAAAGGGCAAGCTTTATGTATTTATGTATATTTATTTATTTTGGATGGTTGTGCTTTATGCTCTGTGTTGGAGCTCCGCAGCCACAGACAACTCCTAGTGGGGAGATGGGGCAGGCAGGGGAGGCAGAAGACCAGGGGGCCAGGGGAGGTGGGAAGGGCAGAGGACAGGGGAGGCAGGGGTGGAGGCAGGGGAGGAGGCAGGGGAGGAAGCAGGGGAGGAGGCAGGGGAGGAGGCAGGGGAGGTGGAGGCAGGGGAGGCAGGGCTGTATTCTGGAAGCCTTATTCACAGTCACAGCTGTGGCTGATCTGCCCTGCAGGTTGGAAT